CATCAAAAAAACCACGAAATAAAAAAAAGAAAAGGGGGGGGGGGGGGGGGGGGAGAAGCGGTAAAAGGCAATAGTACAACAATAAAAATAATATAAATTAAAAAAATACAGTATCACAATGATTTACACTCCATTTGTATTGTGGTAGATATTATAAATAATGAGAGATGGAAAGTATACGGGAGTATATATGTGAGTTATGTGTAAATACCATTCCATATTATATAAAGGACTTGAGCACCCACTGATTTTGGTGCATGGGGGAAGTCTTGGATCCAATCACCCATGGACAAGAGAGGACTGTATTTCAAATATTCCCTACTTGTTACTAGCACCCTCATACTTCCACTAGGAGCCAGTGGGGCTGATATATGCTTCTTTATCATTGCACCCCAAAAGTCAGACTCCAAAGTCACATCTCCATTCATGCAAAGATCCTATTTCTGGGACAGGGTCAGATTAACTTCTGGGTCTGGGACTTAGGAAAACTTAGTAATCTTCTTCAGAGATGACAGCTTGGATAGAGGAATGAGCCTGGCTCTAACATCAGGGGTTCAAGGCAGGGCCTCACCACTAGCTGAGTGATCTCTGGCAAGTTACTGAGACTTAAATGCCTTGTCTGTAAAATGGGGGAATAAATACCTCCAGCTGATGGGGGACCTAAGGGGTCTCTTATGCACACATGCTGTGCAAGTTGGGAAAGGCGAAACGGGTTTGTTTTCTCTCGGTGTCCTATTCTGAGCCCCACCTCTCCGCTCCCTTCTCTAAGCCCCAGCCTCCAGGCTTGGCTTCTTTCTAGATCACTGAACCTTCACAGCAGCCCTGCAAGGGAGGATTCTTATCCTTCCTTTTCAGCGAGGGAAATGATGCTCAGGGAGGTGTAGGGACTTGCCTAAAGTCACTCGGCCAGTAAAGGAATGACTGGGAGCCAGTTCTGTCTGACCACAAGGTTTCCATCCCTAGTTCTCAGTGTAGAGAACTGGGAATTCCACTCTGGCCCTTCTGCTCTTTTTTCTCCCTGCACCCAGTAGCTGCAATTGGTGAGTTTCTCCCCTGCTCATCTGATTCCCGATGGACAGAGCCCCATCTTTGCTCTGAATCCTTGCAGCTCAGAGAGGACATGGGGGTGAGTTTCAGTGAAAGAAGATGAGGATTTGCAGGGGACAGGGGATCAATGAAGGACAACAGCTCAGTGGGGAAACAAGGGCTGGGAACATTCTGTGACAGGGACAAGAGCTTGGTAGTAGGGGCTCAGATGGAGAATGGGGGTGTCGTAGGAGATTGGGAATCAGGGCTGAATGAACCTGGTGGCTGAGGAGACCAATCTCCCTTTGCCTCCCACCTGTTTGGTTCCTGACAGTAGGAGGGAATATCTCAGCCAGAGGCTGGAAGGAAACAGGCTGAGGCAGAGGCGGGACCACACCCTCCTCCCAGCAGAGGGGCTGAACCTAAACAAACCCAGCCCCCTTACACTACTAGGCCCTGGGCTGCCCCAGTCAGAGGTCTGAGGAATTCAGAGAGAGAGAAAGAGACCCAGGCAGAGACTCAGGTGCCGGGGCAGACAGAGGCAGAAGGAGCCAGTGACACAGAGACAGGCACGTGGAGAGCGGGGTTGGGTTGCTCAAACCAGTGCCCAGAAAAGACTGCTATCTAACCACTGAGGCCCAAGAAGCATTGACCCAGTGCCTGGAGTTTCTCACAGCCGTGCAGCCCTGCTGGTGCACCAGTTGCCACCTCCAGGAGCCCTTGATAAGGCTCACTTTTGCTCCCTTGCCAAGCTCGAGGGCCTGAAATCGACCAGGAGCTGAAACTTACTACATTCCAGCCATCATGGGACCCAGGATAGGTAAGTCTGTATGAAGTAAGGAAGGGGCTTTGGGAGGGAGCTGGGTGCTCCATCCCAGTGAGAAGGGCTAAGCTGTAGAGCCAGGATGGGTGTGCTGAGGGGAGGGCGGGGCCCACAGAGCCTGGCATGTGGCCGGCCAGCAAAGCTGTGCTGAAGGAATGAGTGGATGACAGGGGCGGGGAGGGCCATTGTTTGTTCAGCCGGCGAGGCACCCAGCCAAACC